CAGGGGTTGGAACTGGAGGAGCTTTAAGGTCCCTTCCAACACAAACTGTTCTGTGATTTCTATGATTTCCCCCCAATTCTGAGTGAGATTTCCCAACCTGCTGAGCATCACCAGCTCCTGCAGATTTCATGAGGCAGCAGCCTCCAGCTGCACACCCACACCAGGCAGCAGTCGGTGCTGCTGTTTCATTTGCTGGCGTTTGCATTTAGGCTTTTGGGTTTAGATTTAAGCAGCATCACTGTAAGTCTGTACATTACTCCTTGTGCTTCAAAGGTGCTGGACTCCAAACCGACAGCATTAGCACTAGCAGAGAGGGAAACAGAAGTAAGATCCTCGGAGGAGACCGACGTACCTGCGGTTTCATCCTGGGGTTCCAGCGGATGTAGTAGCCGACCCACAGCTCGAGGTGGCGCATGCTGGCCACGGGATACAGGACGTGGTTGGAGTAGCTCACGTACAAGGGGTTAGTAAAGTCTTCCAGTTGGCTGTTGATGTAAGACCAAAGCGATACTGTCTTTTTTGGAAGGCTCTGTAAGGGAAGGGGGTGGAGGAGGCTTTATTTCCCCTACAAATCCCAGCGTTTATCTATAAAGTACAACGGCATATATACATCTGCCTGTCATTAATACAGAGCTCCTTGCCTTTCTGTAGCTTAAAAAATAACCCTGTTCTTTTGATATGGTCACTGCAGGCGAAGCACACAGAGGCAGGCAGAGGCACACACGCTCCCTTGGCACAGGAACACCTACCAGGAACCGCCATTGGCACAGCAACGGGACGCTGGCGTTGAGCTCTCGCTGCTTTAGTTAAACTTCACTCTTTAAACTGCTCCTGGAGGACTTGCTCGAGTATTTAATTGCAAAGAAATAAAGAAAACATTTGACTTAGGCCCTGATCTAGTGGAATAATTAGGCTGGTGAATAGTCCCCATGAAACCAGTGTGGAAGTGCTTTCTAGATTAAGTACTTCACTAGGCTGAGGCCTTAAAAAACCCAAACCTACACAGCACGGGGGGTTTCTTCTCTGAAAATTACAATTATTCCAGCACTCTGAACTTCAGAGGAAGCAGGGACCCTGATTTCACTCCAGTACAACGGTATATCTTTAGATTGTTTTTAACTGATGTGCTATCGAATACAACCACGTAAGGTTCACGCAGTACTGTCCTCAGTGTACCTCTGTGATGCTGGGCTCCAACCTTTTGGTGACAAAATGCTTCTTTAGGTAGGTGAGATGGAATAAGCGTCACTGCTCTTCCTCCTGATTCCAGACTGGGTCTGAATGTATGCATCTATATGCCCCTCCCTCGGCAAACAAACCTGGACCAGACTGCAGGGCAGAGCTGGTGGCAGGACCTAGGGGCACGTCCTTCCCAACACTGGCAGCTCTGTCCTCTCCCTCTTGGGAAAATGCAAGCACAGCAAGAACCAGTTACTTGCTGTAACCTATGTGTGCAGAATGACAATGCACACTTGGTAGTTAAAAGCAACCTAAAGGGACAACTTCAAGGAAAAGGGAGGACAAAAAGGTACCAATCTCCACAGAGGAGATTACATTAAACTGAACTTCAGAGCAAAACTGCATTTCCAACTACCTAGCAGACACCAGGCGCTATTCAGCCACTAGTGAGTAGCTGAAAGCCATGCTGAAAGCAGTGGGACTGTCCAGAGGGAAGTGGTAATGATCTGAAATGTGAAGTCTGCAACAGCAGTTTGTGCAAAGGGGAAAGTACCCATGTCCCAGCTGTTAAGAAGAGAGCTTGGCATTCCCCAGACCTGCAGCTACCCCTGTCTTTGAGCACTGAAACAACTTCTCTAGCAACATCTGGCCTGCTAAAGCAATCACAGGCCTTCACCTTGGCGAGAAGCTGTCTTACCTCCTTCACTCTCTGCTGCTCACTGCTGCACAGGAAGGTCCCAAACAAGCAGCTGTACAGGTGATCCAGGATGGTTATCAGGAAGTACTCGTTGAACTCAAATGCTGTGGGAAACTTCAGACAGAACCAGAAAATTAGGCTGGCATTTTAGAATGGGAATTGCAAATCTTCTCCCACTTTGTGGTAAGGAGTTGTCCTCTCTTTTTGATTTCTAAACCAGGATTTGTCCCTGTTCCCTGCCTGGCTGGATAGTCAGGATCATATCTGCTCCTTCCAGAAGTGAGAGCTTCTCTCTTGGAAAGCTGCTCTACACGTGCAGAGAGGAATTTTGAGCAAAAGCCAGAGGTCTGAAGGGTTTGACTGTTGTGTTTATACACACTCAGCGCTGCTTCAAACCGAAGCCTGCTCTGCTGTGCCTGCCCCTCATTGCAGCCCCTGCAACGAGACTGTGAGCAACAGGCTGAGGCACATGTGAAATAATGCATAAAAAGAACTGGAAACTGCCCAGAACCAAAAGGAAATAACCTGTGTGTGTAATGCAGCCCTTCCCAGAGGGAACAGCAGGGATGCACCCTGCAACAGGAGTCAGCGGGAGGAGCAGGTGTATAGGTGGGAGCTGTGTTTACTGCTGGTGTTCATGCAGAAACGACCAGACCAAAGACAGGGAGAACTGAAGCTCCACAAAGCGTCAGAAAGAACACACGCAGTGAACCACAAAGACAGGCTGGGGCAATGGGGAGGAGAGCAGGAGACCTTCCTCCCTCACAAGCCACCCTGCTCTGACCACGCTGCCCCAGCCAACATCCTGACCACCATCACCAGCTGCAGGTCAGGATGCCCGCTCACAGGAGCAACCCAAGGAGAGCATGATGAGTCTTACAATCATGGAATAGTTTGTGTTGGAAGAGATCTTAAAGCTCATCTAATTCCAACCCCCTGCCATGGGCAGGGAGACCTTCCACTAGAGCAGGTTGCTCTAAGCCCCTGTGTCCAACCTGGCCTTGAACACTGCCAGGGATGGGGCAGCCACAGCTTCTCTGGGCAACCTTCTTCTCACAAGCTCACATTTATTACAGCAGCATGTAGGTAAGCAGCACCCACTAAGTAACAAAACTGATTCAAGCTGACATCATGGCCTGCCTGTGCGCTTGTGCATTCAGGCTCTCCCCTAAACAGAGTCTGCAGGTCCAGCTTGGAAATTGTTCCTGTGGCCACACAACGTGCAACACGTTGGTACACCAGGTTTGTGGACATGTGTGCCAGCCAGCAACCCACCTGTCTTGTCATCTGCCAGACACAGTCGATGAACTGGAGGAAGACAGGAGAGCGATCTGCATCTGCGTGATTCTTGTCTCCATGGCCAACTCTCTGAAACAGAGCAGGACAGAGAACTGAGCCACACAGGGAAACTGCTGGGGTCTCCTCTCAGTCACCCACATCTATACCTACAGCTTTTAACACGGTTCAAATGAATCTTGGTTTTGCTTTGTCCCTATCAGTGTGTAAAGGAGTGAAGGGCAGCTACTCCCTTCCTCTTTGAAGTGAGATTTCTTTATGGGGATATTTTCATGCTAAATGAAAACACGAGTTGTTTGACTAGCGGCTCCAGATGCTGTGCTGGCACCGGTTCCAGTCAATAGCTACAGTTCAGAGGGGAAAAAAATGAGAATACTTCTTGCTTCAGCTGCAGCTGTCGTCCTGGCTACTGCAGTAGTACAGTGTGCTAGATGTGAGCAGCACCTACAGGCACGGCATGCGGCGGGAACCGTCACACAACACCTCGCAGCTTCCAAGCGCTGTACAAACACTGACCTAGCCCATCTCCCGCCACCTCAGAAGAGGCAGTGATGAAAGTATCCCCAGAAGTAGGCCTCCAGCCCCCACCGTGCTGTGTGGCCAAGACAGGATTCCTTACAACTAGCACAGCACATGAGGGGCTCTGTATTACCCAGGAGCCCTAAGTACTGTACAAAGAACAAGAACACGTAAGTAACAGAGATCCCTACTTCCGTAATGCTGTTGTCCCCTCACCAAAGGAAATCAGTATCATTATCTTCCTCACATACGCAGGGAAGCTAAAATACTCATCATTCAAACACCAGGTAACAGCTTTGCTGTGGCAAAACCTCAGTGCCTCAGTTTCTCCACCTTCCTCAGAGCATCTGATTATGCAACCTACCATCACATGTGCTGTAAACAGACCTTGTTCTATCCATTGCCAAAATTAACAGCCACAAAAGAAGAGCTACCAGCAAAACACAACAAGAACAGAGACTGAAAGGATTCTACTGAAAGGCTCTCTCAAATCCCATCAGTGCAAACCATAAACTGCTGCATCACACACCCCACAATGCTGCCTCTCTGCAGCTCCAGGGACACCACCATGAGCTACTCTTGGTCCAGTCTCAAGCTGCTGAGCTTTTACCTAAACAATGAAAAGCCTCCCCAAGAATAAAATGTACCTGAAGAGAATATGAGGCCAAGGCCACAACCACATTCCCCACTCTCTTCAATACCAAGGCATTTGTTAGGTGACAGTGACCAAGCAGTCTCAGAAAATGGGCTGAACTGGAAAGAGAGGCAGAACATATCCCCGTGGTCTCTGCCAATTCCCAGCAGAAACACCTATCCTGGACCCAAAGCATACTGTTAGTTTAAGCTTAAGCATGGGAACACGACATGTCAGCCAGGCTCCTGAGAGATTTAATACTACCTGCTCCTGGTATCTAACCAATACTGTCTCCAGGGAGGTTAAGAGATGACTGGAATTACAGGTAGAAAACAACAGCAGCATCATTCACCTTTCTTCTGTGGGTTCAGCTGGGAGGCTTCTCACAGGAAGGGCTAAACTCCTCTGAAAGCCTTCAAGGTGGACAATAACTTTCTGTCCGGTGCCTTCCCAGGGCTAGAGACTCACCAGCTGAAATCTGTGGCCGAAGCTCAGCCACTCCTTCTCCACCAGCACTTCAAAGCCCCTGATAGTCCGGTAGTAGCCATCTAACATGAGCAGAGACAGGGAGGTGAGCTGGGCGGTCCGGTCCCAGCCATCGCTGCAGTGTACCACCACAGACGTCTTCCCTGACTCCACCTTGTCCGCGATGCGAAGGGCTCCAGCGAGAATGAGCTAGGGCAAGGGGAAAACTGAAGTTATGAAACCTCGTTGGAACAGAAACTGTAAATGAAAAATGGCCAGTGACAACACAGGGCAAACCAAGGGCTCTGCCTGCCTCAAGGAGAATGGTAAATCAGTTCCAACTACTTTGTAAGTAGGACAGCAAACTGGTGAACACATCTGCTGTTTCAGCCAGATGACAACACATCTAAGCTGTAGTGCAGACACAGCTCTAGAAGAGCTCTTGCATTAAGCTCAGTCCTTGAAGAGGTCAGGATTTAAATGCAGGAGCAATTCTGTGTCTGACATAAACACAAAGGGCCACTGCCTTGAAACTGCCCCAGGAGCAGATCTGCCCCTTGTCTGCATTAGCAGGTTGACAATGTAAGCTGGACATTGCTAGGAGAGAAAGAGCTTCATTTGAAAAGCAACAACTGGAGAAGCTGAAGCATTTTGCCCCATCATTCTGACTGTGCTTAGATTCCTGAAAGGCTGATGGGGCACAAAATCCCAGCATTTGCTGGTCTGGACCATCAGTAACACCAGGATGTGGAGGATCCCTGAGTCAAGAGCTTGGAAACTCTGGGACTCCTGTGCTTGAACCAGGGCTTTCACTGTTAGCATTACCCAGGAACACACTTCAGTGCCAAAACACCATCTCTCAGTATTTCAACCCCCGCTCTTGTCCCTCTTCCCATCTCTTCCAAGATTCCCCATTCCATGAAACCGTGGTTTTAGTTGTTTATAAACTGAAAACAAATTTCAAGTCCTCAAATTTCTCATGAGTTGAAAATCCAGCCCTGGAGCTGCCTCTGGATACCTTTCCCAGAGAACAGACTGGTGGCTGCCAACCCACATCAGGGGATGCAGAGCTGCGTACCTTGATATGCTCTAGCCAGTGAGTTGACTCTAAATTAGACAGCCAGTGGGTCTCCTCGATATTGGGATACACAATTTCCTTCAGTTTTCTCAGCGATTCTCTCATAACGTGGATATTGTGAATGTCCAGGAACACTAACTCTGCATTCTGATAGGCATCCTCGCTCTCATAGCCCCCTCCTTTAGCCTGAAGAACAGAATCCACATACAAATCATTAAGCAAATCCATATTTTAGACTTTATCCCCATCGTTCGTCCTGAGCAAACATCAGCTGACAAAATACCACAGTGATTGTGGTATCTAAAGGGGGCAGAAAACACTGGATTTACCTTACAAATGAGAACAAACATGTACAGGCACACACTTTGTGTCTCTTTCCTGCAACAGTGAATGAATGCTGTAATTTTTACCAAAGAATATCACATTACAAGCTTTCTTCTTCTCTGTAATTATCATTTATCCCCATTCAAGCTGCTAGCTCATTAGAGCCACTATTCTGTCATTTACAGATTTACCATACTATTCCAGAGGAGTATGTCCCCCACACTAATTGCCTTTCCTAAGGAGAGGGAAAGACAGTTTAAAACTAAGGAAAAAAATCAGCTTTGGTGCAACAAAGCAGTTCTTCCATTAAAACAGGGCTTACAGTGATGGCATGAGGCATTCACTTTAAAAAGGGTAGAAAGGAGCCTGGGGACTAGCAACCTGTCAGCCTCACCCCTGTGCTTGGGAAGATCAAGGAACTGATCCTCTTGGGAGCCATGCTAAGGCACATGGAGGACAGGGAGGTGACTGAAGACAGCCAGCACGGCTACACCATGGGCACATCCTGCCTGACCGACTTCGAGGCCTTCTGTGATGGAGCGACTGCATCAGTGGACAAGGAAAGAGCTCTGGATGTCATCTACCCGGGCTTCTACAAGGACTTTGGCACAGTCCCCACAACATCTTTCTCTCTAAACTGGGGAGATACGGGTTTGATGAGTGGACCGTTTGGTGGATGAGGAGTTGGTTGGATGGTCACATCCAGAGGGTCGCGGCCACAGGCTCAATGTCCAGATGGAGATCAGTGACAAGCGGTGCCCATCACGAGTCCATACAGTGACCAGTACTGTTTAATAACTACATCAATGACAGACAGTGGGATCAAGTGCACCCTCAAGTTTGGAGATGACACCAAGCTGAGTGGTGCAGTTCATAGGCCTGAAGGAAGGGATGCCATCCAGAGGGACATGGACAAGCTTGAGAACTGGGCCCACAAGGCTCAACAAGGCCAAGTGCAAGAACCTGCACCTCGGTTGGGGCAACCCCAGTATCAATACAGGCTGGGCGATGAAGAAGTTGAAAGCAGCCCTGCCAAGAAGGACTTTGGGGCTACTGGTGGACGAGAGGCTGGACATCAGGTGGCAGTGTGCACTTGCAGCCCAGAAAGCCAACTGTATCCTGGGCTGCATCAAAAGGAGTGTGGTCAGCAGGTCGAAGGAGACGATTCTCTCCCTCTGCTCCACTCTCATGAGGCATCTGCAGCACAGGAAAGACACGGACCTGTTGGAGCAGGTTCAGAGCACCTCCTCTATGAGAGCAGGCTGAGAGAGTTAGGGTTGTTGAGCCTGGAGAAGAGAAGGATCCGGGGAGACCTTATTGTGGCCTTCCAGTACTTAAAGGGGGCTTACAAGAAACATAGGGACAAACATTAGCAGGGCCTATCGGGACAGGACAAGGGGTAACAGTTTTAAACTAAAAGAGAGGGTGGTGAAACCCTGGACCAAGTTACCCGGAGAGGTGGCAGAAGACTCATCCTAGGAGACATTCCAGGTCAGGCTGGATGTGGTTCTGGGCAACCTGAAACTAGTTGAAGATGTCCCCACTCACTGCAGGGGGGTTTGCACTAGATGACCTTTGAAGATCCCTTCCAACCCAAACTGTTCTACGATTCTATACAGCAGGAAGAACTCAGCAACATCCCTAGACTTTAAAGATCCCCAGCTTCTATTTTGAAATGAAAGATCATGATGCCTGATTTTCAGAAGTGCTGAGTAGCCCCTGCTCCCATCAGGGCTAACAGGGACAGACTTCTGATGCTGTTAGAGGAAGCAGTCTTTCAACCATGTGAAGTGAGAAATGGTGATACGCAAGATCCAGGGTGCTAGAGTCTGACCTCAGAACTACTTTAACTCTTCTTTTCCCCTTCCAATCTAATCTCACTTCCCATTATAGATTAATCCAAGTGGATCTTTAATGGTCACAGATATCTTACAGATACCAGTGCAGCCATAAAAGTCTGTCTAGAGAATCGGATCACTGCATAAGATTCTCTTTACAGTTGAAAACCCTTTGTGATCCTCAGGAATCATTTGAAATGGTGGTGGAAGACACGCTTTTAAGTGTCTACACTCCCCGCTTTAGACAGGGAAAAGCACCTGACCTTATTGGCTACAGCATTCACACTGGGCCTTGCATCAAATATGAAGATTTTATGGGACTGAGCATTAGAATCCATGATGGCTTGAAGGTACTTTTCATCTTCCTTGCTTCGCTTGCCACTCACTCCCACCATTGGCTGGCTACAGCGAGTGATCGTTGCTTGACTTTCTGGGTGAATCCATGACAATACCTTTGAAAACAAATAAGAAAGAAACGAAGGAAAAATGGGATTCATTAAATCAGTGAAGTGTTTTATCTGTAATTGCTTGCTCTGAGATCCTGCCATGTATTAGCTGCTTCCAGAAGGCATAATTCTATTAAAGAACACTTCTGTCCTTACTCATTCATTGTAGGGGCATTCTCAAAGTTTGAACAAACAAAAGGTGACTGAAAAGGTTTAAGCCTGACTTTTAAATATGATGCACACTGTTGTCTTGCTTAAGTCACAAACACACTTCTCACTCTGCAGTCATTGGGCTATGCCTTACTTTACGTTACACCATATGAAAGTTAAGCATTTTGGGAACAGATTTAATTTTCTATAGACTTGAGAAGTAAACCAGTGTCTTTTCAGTTACCACTGAAATGATCATCTTAACAATGTGTTTTGTCTTAATTTCATTTAATATGCATTTTCATCAAAAGCATCACTAAGTATTCCCCTATCCTGAAAGTGAGAATAGGCCAGACAATTGTAAACAGCTAAATAGGGCTGCTTCGTGTTTCCCGGGATCTGAACTGAGATTCGGTCTGGGTTGTGCTAAGTTATCTTATCTTCTCATTTTGGTTTAGTCTACATCTCTTTCACAACAGTAGTTCCAGCAGATTATGTTGCTAACTCCTCAAACATGTTGCTGTCACTTTTATTATGCATTGACCATTTATTTGCTCCCTGGAATCCACTCAGCCTGATCTTGGTATTATTTATGGCCCAAAGGTATGTAACAAAGCCACATAAAACTGGCTTCTCTTGTCACACTCACTGGTATACGTCCTCTTGATCTGAAGGATGCTACTCTCTTTAATTCTTCATCAGGAATGTTTACAGGCACAGCTAGAATGGCAGGGTATGTATCACACAGCTCATAGCGCTCATTAATCTTGGTCAACCTCCAGCTTTCATTGGGAATTCCCTGTAGAGTAAACAAGAGCAGATTAGCAAATGAGTTGCTCTAAGACCTCAGCCCAGTCAAATCCCCAGACCTGGAATTCAAGGCAACTTTTGATAATGAAGGACATCTAGGGCTGGAGCCTGGGACTGCATTATCTCGGTGACTTGCATTTATGCCTCTTCTCAGAGAGGTAAATGTTTTGCTCAGATCAGTGAAGAACAGGAAAAACAGAAGACTGCAGGCAGGCTCACCTATGGCTGCAGATGTGGCAACACCTCATCCTCCAGAGAGCATCCTCCTGGTCTCATCATGGTGCTTACAGGAGACCCAGGAGCAAGACAGAACGGGTGACCAACACTCCTCACTTGTCACTTAGCTCTAACATGGTGAATGAAAAATGGGGATGGAAAGTGGAGTTACCAGATAGGATGGAGGCGAAGACAGAAAAGGCAGTAAAACACCCCCCCAAAAAAAATCAATCTGTTTTGGCCCTTGTTTGGTGTTTGTGACACAGCTGTGCAACCCCCCTAAAAACATCATCAATCTAGTATGTCTCTGGCTGCCTGATTTTATGTGATCTGGACAGTGATGTGCAACTCCATGTTCCTCTCAGACCATGTTCTCTGGTTGTACTAGTTTGACTCTAGCTGGGAGAGCAGGGAATCTACACACACGTCATTGAGCTCAGCACGTCCCGGTGAGGAAGCAACTCAACAGCTTCCCAGCTGACAAGCTCCAGGTAACACCTGCAGCACAATGGGGATGATCCTGACAACCTGCAGACTTAGTTTGGCTGATGCTGGGAGTTAACAGAGCAAATCAGTGTGGTTGCTACTGTGTGCCTGCAAGGAGAGATTCGAAGAGACAGTTGCTGCAGCAGGGGTGAGCACCGATACAAAGCATCTCTGTGGGGAAGACAAATCTACTACAGTGACCAAGGCCAGACTGCTAAGCACAGAGTCTGTTTTAGAGGAACATCAGCTCTTAAAACAATACATGCTTCTGTTCTAATAAACAGTACTTCATTTTCAGGAGGGTGGTGGGACACTGACTGCCACTGTCGTGGCTCCAACAGGAAATAAATGACAAATGTAGCACAAGTCAGACGAGCTGTGGTAATTATGGTTGAACCCACACAGACTGCAGCTGATTCCTTTCAGAGCAGCGAGTCATGCTGTCAAAACAGCTCATGGTTAGAAATGTGAGGAGAGGACAGACCTTCTGTCTCATACTGGTCACACACCCTGCTTGTGAACCACCCCTGGTCCTGGGGCCCTCCCTGGGAAGGAAATGTTACTGCAAGGAGATCAACAGAGCTGCCAGGATCATGAGTAGCCCAAAACCCTAAAGGAAAGCTATTTTTGGTACTGCCTGAAGCCAAAGAACTGGCAGAAACAGGCATCTAATAGTGTGTATATGTAGTCCAAGCTTACTGATGAGTAAAACACGCTCAGAGGTGCAGAGCAGGCATGGAATCTCCTGGGTCCACCAGCTCTGCTGTCCGCTAGGGAGTAGCAGGACTTTTGCTCTTAGCTGCCCACCAACTATGATCAAACTGGTTACTATCTGGAAGTGAATTAATAGCAAATGACTAGATTGTTCTCAGTCCTGTTCTAGTAAGTACACGGCTGCACTGCAACGGATCCATCAGCAGCACTTGGGTATTTCACCTTCCCCAAATATGAATCCAAACTATGCTGTCAGCACACTCGTGGCAAGGAAAATGGGAGCTGACAAGCAGTTACATGGAAGTAAAGCTCCTTTTCATTCTACCTTGCAACTCTACCAGTGCTTACAGAGAACAATGAGCAGTCACTGGCACTGCAAAGCTTCCTCCTCACCATGCTGGGCAGAATAGCTTCAGCACACGCTGCTCAGTCCAGAACCAGCAATAAGTCTTTCAGCTGCCACCCTGACAAACTTGAATAAAATCTTTCCTCTGCACTAGGAAAATCCATGGCAAGCCCCCTGGTTTAAACCAGGACACCCCCAAAGAATGAAAATCTGCTGTGTGTCAGCGTTCGCATTCCTGTGAATGTCTGCTTTCCCCTGGCACAGGAGCTTCAATCACAGCACCACCCAAAGAGGGCTTTGGATTCGGATCATGACTCTCTCTAAGGACTTGAAGCAAACACAAATAAGCCAAGTGGGCTGGAAGAGAAGCTGAATTTGCATCTTCCCAGAACGTTTGCCACAATGCAGTGTAGGTTCTGCATTTATTCATGCCCCTTCAGATTTGTGCTTTCTCCAGCTGGAATCAATAGAAAAAGCTAAACGTGATATAAAGCACATCGGTATTTCCTCATATAAGATGCGTTTCACTGCTTCTTGGTAACTTGAAAGCAACCAAAAGTCTACCATCAAACCAACCCAAACCGTTGCACATGTAACTCAAGAAGGCTCTGCAGGCTCAAGACTGGCTCTGAGAGCTGCCTGCCTGGCATCTGCAGCAGGAATCCAGGAATTCCTCGCTAGCTGCAGGTTCTGATCATCCCAAAGCTGCCAGGGAATGTGGCTGCTGGGTGTCTACATCAGTGACCAGAGCCTGGTGCACAAGGTCTGTCTTCTTCAGGTGAACTAACGCTGCTACTAGACCCTGATGCCAAGAGAATCCATGTGTTCAGCTGCTGCCAGAGGGCAAAGTGAGGAAGGCAACGTGGCCATGTCTATAAATTAAATATGCCCATGACCATTCTCATTGAGACTACATCTCACATCCATACTATTTAACTCATTTATTCTGAAAACAGGGCAGTTTGTCCAAACTGCCTACTGGTGATCCTTGACTTGCATCAGCCTCTGAACAATTCCATGTCCGGGAGCAAATGAGCTGGCCTTGCAGCACCCCACAAGGACCTCTTCAGGCCCAAGCTCCACTGCGGCCCAGCTGCAGACTGCCAAGGACACTACAAAGCCACATGGAAGAGCTGTGTGAAAATCTATAGGAAGACAAGAAATGTGAAGCTGCAGATAGAGGCAGAGGATGAGATGGGGATCGCTGCCAGCTCTAGGTTATAAGAGGGGAAAACAACATCATGAAACGGTATAAAACCCAAAAGGAGAAGCTGTGAGTTTAGTAGGCAGTCACACAACAGTCTGTGCTGGTGTTGACATTACTGGTGGCAACAACCACCCAATGGAGGCAGGTGCAAAGGCTGACCCTTCTCCTTTCACTGGTGCCTGCATGGCTAGGAAAGTCTCTTCAAATGCCTTCTCTAATGTGCTGAGTACTAATGCTCAGCCCAGTAGCTAGTTAAATCTCAGCTATCTTGTGTGTGTGTTAACCAGTAAATAACTGCTTCGTGCTCCCAATCTGCACACATCTTGCTGGAAGAATATCTTCGTGCATGGCTAAAGATGCTCACAAACACTCACTCAAAAGAGGGATGGTAACAGCCTGGATGAAGCTACGCCTGCAACTTGCAATGAAGGTGTCCCAGTGCTTGGGAACACTCCTTATGACTATCATCTAACCGAGGAGACGCAGCCTTTTTGTCACCTCCACATGCAAACCAGACTTGGTTTCCTTCTGGATAGTCATTCACGCCTTACTTTAGCGTCCTGTGCTCAGTTATCACTTGAGCTCTGCATGCTGTAGAAGATGGAGTTTCTTCGCTTGCAGGGGAAAACCGCTGAAGACACACCAGCATGGCACTGAAACCACCACCTTGCAAAGCACGTGTTTAAGCTTAAGCACATGCGGATCTTTCACTGACAGTAAAAAAAGCCAATATCCTTGCTGGAATTACACCCAATCAAATCTCCATGGCATCCAGCAGACCAATTCTGCTGAGCTGCAGCGCACAAGGCAGGCAGGGTCCTGAGTTACGCACCAGCAGTGCCTCTCAAAGCTGCTTTGAACCATGAGATGCCAATAGGCTGAGCACATTAGCTCAGGCACATCCCTGCACCAACACAGGATGCAGCTGCCAGAGCCAAGCTGGTCCCTCTGCTGTGTACTCAGCCCAGGTTGTGTTCACTTAGTGCAAGAGAGCTGTGATCCATTTTGCAGTAGAGACACACTGAGCACAAGCAGGACCTCAGTTAAACCATGGCACATTTACCAATTCAGTTGCCATTTTACTCCCCTAAGTTATACCAAACAATCCTCTGTGGGATGCTGTTCTCATGCTCTGGCTTTCTGTGCTTGAATACTAATGCTGGGCACTTCTTTTATCTTCAAAACAGGTCAGCTCCTTTCCTGAATTACTAATTTCTATATGTTTTCTCTGAAAGCAACAACCACAGCCCTATACTGTGGCTCCCTGATCCATATAACCAGGGCACAGGATTAGACGAGCATGACTTCTGTAAGGAAACATCACACATTTCCAGCTTCACAACCCCTCGTAATATTTTCCAAATGCTCCCCACCTTGTTAAGAAAAATGAAAGCTTTAAGTTTCTCCAAAGGCATCTCAAGGCCTTTTGGTTTCAACTGAGTCTTATTCACTTTGCAATTCTGTTTTATACTCTGCCAGCCCCCGTGTAATAAAAATCAGGGAGCAATTTCAGTTTTAAATTTCATTTGCCACATGCGATTCCAGTTACCGAGTAAATCCCAAACCTCTCCGAGCTCCTTTTGTTCTCCACAGGTTGTTTATTACTCCCCATAGTTTTATACAATCACAGATTTTTAATAAGTTACATATTTCCACCCTTCCCAAGAATGCCAACAGAGAAGTCAGGGGTTTACTGAGCATCTTTCCTTATTGCTACAATCTCTGCCATCTCAACACACTTAATCTGAAAATAAAAATCATAATAAATACATCATGCCACACACAAACGTGCCATGTCTATGACTGTAGACATATTGCTTACTATGGATCCCACGCTGAAAGTCCTTTCTGGATGCTTGGCAGCATGCCTGGCTTCTACTTTTGCTCTGCTCCCCTCTCCGTGTCCCTGCTCCCACAGGGAAATGACTGACCCAGCCTAAGATATACCAAGTTAATGCCTGGCCGTAGTGCTGGGCTGTTTATGCCCTAGGCCAGCTCTTCCCTAATGGTTTTTAAACCAATTCCAAAAGGTCCTGCAGATAGTGCATATGTCCTGCTTCTCTATTTCTGATCACAATTCATGCAGTCAGAGACAGGTAATCCCTTTATCTGATTTGATGATGCCAGTGTTGCTTCGCTCTTAACGAATCCCTGCTGCCATTTCAGGACATAATCCTGATTTACTTTAGTATTTGTTATTGCTTTAACAGAACCTGGTTGGATTAAGAAAAAAGGCTAAGACATTCACAGAGATAAGTTCAACATCCATAGTTATAAATGCTGAAATTAAATAAACAGACTGAAATACCTAAAAGTTTTGGAGAGGACATAAAGCTTCATGCTGCAGGACCTAAATCAATCTAACAAAAGGGATGAAATTCTCCTCCTGGCCAGATCACAACATAAACATCTACTGCAGCAGGGTCTGCCTCTTCCTCAGCAGCTGGTGTTGGTCACTTTTGGAGATAAGCTACTGGAGCAGATGGATTGTGTGATCTGGAATGGTAATGGCTGTGGCCCATCATGGGTATAATTCAGATAGGCCATGGCTGAAAAAAATCCTGGTTTGGATTCATTTTTGCAGTTACCAATGTAAGCAAATGAGAGGGGCTTCAGCAGATGGACATTAGTTTGGTTTCTTGACATAAAGCAGTCAGGCAGATTTTCCTGTCCACCCAAAAACAATACAAAAACAGGTCGTAACAAAAGGACACGTTGCAGCAGTGTCTCAACTGAAATATGCTTCACATACAACAGTGCGACTCTGTGTGACCAGAAACAAAGACACCACAGCCCAGAGACTCATTTTTCTTCACAGAAAGGCCACACAGCTGCAAATCACATGCATGTAAATTTACGTATCTTTTCACCACATAACCAAACTCCTGCCAAATTCAAGGTGCAGCAAATCCCAATATAAAAAGTAATATGGACAGAAAAGCTTGTATTCTAAAAAACAGACATGCCAGAATTAAGAAATTGGAATAATTTACCTCCAAATTCTCAAGGGTCACCGTTCCTTCTTTCCAGGTACTGTAAGAATGTGTTTTGTACATCATCTGTTTTAACTGAAGCTTGGCTGAATGAATGCTGGGCTTTTCAATGGAGATTATTTTGATAGCATGAGTATTCTTTAGTCTTTACTCCAAAGTTCTCAACCCTATATAGAAAGATCTTGCCCATACAGCTTGGGTTGCACATTCTTCTTTATAAACAGATCTTTCCTTAAAAAAACTACCAAGAAAGAGGTGAATTCTAAACAGAGCAGCAATCGCTGCATTATCTGGTCTTATTAGTCAAAGTCGACCTTAGATACGATGTGTGTCACTGATTACAAATGATGAGAGTTTGTCTCTTTAGGCTTTTAGGTTGTGGTGTCTCACTGCAAAAACATCCATTTTTTTTGCAATGGAGGTAAGATACATCTCACTTTCAATTAGCAGCCTAGAGCCAGGGATCTATCTTAGGCAGCTATTTTAGGAGGGAACAAATCACCCCCAACAGTGAAGCGTGCTCTCCCCATCTGTTAATGACAGGCCTAGGTAACCAATTTAGAAGGCATGCCCAGCTTTTAGAAGACTAGAGCTACTAAAGTGAATCCTTTCCTTAGGGTTTGGATGCCAGGAAACAGATGAACAACTAGGCTAGGACAGAGGTCTGGTTTTGTTCTGTTTGTGGGAAAGACTCAAATAAATCTTTAAATTACAAGGCTTAAAATTTCTTACTTTTACAAAGGAAAATTGATTTTATCCTGGTAGATCTGGATGAGACAAAAGTTTACAGTGTCCAGGGCAAATTGTGCTGTTTCAGCTACTTGGGAATTTTACAAGAAGACTGATTTCATTATAAACAACAAAATTCTCCCATCTTTTCCCCCAGGAGGCAGTATTCCTAATTGACAGCCTGCCACTTCATTAGTACCTTCAAACAGTCTATTCTGGACACACTGCAACTGTCTGTCCTAAGTTACAGTAAATGACGACACTGTCTAGGCTGATGTCTACGCTGATTCCCCAAGAAAATGATTATATATTAATTTTTTTTTTCCTTCCCATTTCATGTTTGAGACAGGAAAACCTGGAAAGAAAGAAAGGAAACTGATACAAGCAAGAACTGAGGTGTGAAACTCTACCAGTGGGATGCCTGTACCTGCAACACGCATCCTCCGCTCCTCACTGCCAGCAGTGGCTCATGACTAAGCCAGAGCAATAGTTTTTTCTACCAAAGCCTAAAGTCAGCTCTGTGCAGCCAGAGTAATCTCCATCAGTGGATGTGACTGTCTCTAAACCTGTACTGCTGCCATCAATCACTACAATGTGGGGAACAATGTCCTAACCCAGCCTCCATGACATTTGTCAGAGGATCATTTGCCGCTCCATGCGACCTGTAATTATATTACTGCACAGACCCTCATTTCTGAAGAGAGGATGAGGAAGGACATGGCACAATACCCACCTGTCTTCTGTACTCCCAAGTCGGGTCATACACCTTCCATCCATTTTCTGGGAAAACCTCTTTGTACTCAAATGCAAAAAGTGGCTGAAAGAAAGAAAATTGACCATTAAGAGCCCACTCAGAGCCCATTTCCAGGACGTCTGGTATCTCAAATATTAACTCATGACTTTTAGGGCTTTGTGAAAAAGATTAACACACTTCCTGTAACAGGCAATTAGTATAACAATATACTTTCCTCTATACAACTGATCTTGCTTTTCTATTACCTAGAACTTCATGGACAAAAGGACTTTATTACTAGAGAAAGAAAAGACTACTTGGGCAGGAACACTCCTACATATTAAGAGCTAGACCCTTTCAACTAGTACTTAAAGCAACAATTGCAATGTTCTAATGTGACAGAGCAGACTAACTGCATTCCAGATTTGGGGCAGTGAAAACACCATTAGCTGTAAACCTTTGATGGGTGTCACTGAGCTTTAAGTATTTTCCCGCTGTTAAAGAGGATGTATCAGTAAGTCACTCTCCTTGCATGAAGGAATCCAGCCCCACAGTAACTTTTCCTGTTTCATATATGATCTAAACTCCCACAGAATTAATTCTAAAACAGATCTCAAACCCAGCATTTCTCCTCCTTCAACAAAATGCACTCCGCATGAACACTCTACCAAGTAAATGGTGCTGAACATCTGTAACTTTTGGTAAAAACTGAAAAGAAAATATTTACCAGATTATTAGAAACTGGGAAAGCATATTTCATTAGGTTCTCAAATATGGACCTCCTAGTTCTCCCTTCAGGCTTATGAGCAAATCGCAAGTTCCGAATATCCTAGGGAAAAAAAGAGGGAAATCAAATTGCAAGTTACTGAACCACTTCAACGAAAATCCAAAAGCCAGCATTCAAAACAGGGTCACATCACAATGCTCTTTCTGGTACTGATTTAATATGGTACTTTGAACACTGTTGTATTGCAGCCTCCAACAAAGCCTGCCACAACTGCAGAGGGAGTGTACAGGCACCTGACTGCAGTATCTTGCCTTCACATGAAGTTCTCTTCCGGCTGAAAGCCTAGGGGAGAGCCCCACTGAGGGACAAGCTATCTCTGATGGGCAGGACTTCATGAGACAGACCTAGCTTCTACAGGGCTTCACACCAAGCTGTGCCAGAAGGCAGCTGGAAGGGACTGTCTCACGAAGTACCTCCACAGCTACTGCATGCAGGGAGCTTAAGTCCAGCCAGTTTGATGGAAAACAATCAATGTCATCTTCCTTTAAAGCTTCCATTTCTGAGCACTCAAGATAATGTCTTGAAACAGAACTCCTCCTTTGCACAGCAGCAGCTTCCATCAAGAGTGGTAACCCAGGACCTCCTTTCCATAATCATCTACAAAATCAAATTTGGAAACTAAATAAAGCATCTCTAAGATGCCAAGATTTTGCAGCCAAGCCTACACCTCAAACACTTGTAGTAAACAGTTTAAAAGACACCAGCAGGAAAGGAGCTATCAAGTTCAAGCATATGATGATGGTACAACAAGTCAGAGAGTAAGATAAACAGCTATAGACTTAGCTTCAAAACCGAGGTTAGGTAATTGGTCTCAGACAGAGAACATTTCAGGATGCATAAGCTGCATCTGTACCACTCTGTTATTACACTGAACTGCTTTGCATATCCTAGGCCAAGCAGGATGGGATATCTTGTCTACAATGAGTGGAGCTGAAGAGTCCTGAAAACTACTTTTAAAATCAGATGGGTTTTGAAGTGTGTGAAATCATACTGACTGAAATGTTTTGCAGAACTTCCTACAGAGAAAACCTCTTAAAATACATGTTCCCCTTACCCTCCTGTAAAACACATAGAGAAGTTTACCTTGCATACAATCTCCAGCCCGTAGGAATTCTCACCACGACTGGAAGCACCTCCAATTTTCTCCACTCTGTTGATTACACCTAAAGATGCATCTAGGACAAAAGGAGGGTCCTGTAGACAGTTGAAATTTGTGAGTTTAAAAAGGGGAGGGGGAAAAGTCCCCAGCTCCTGCTCCCTTATGCCTATATTCCCAAGCATACAGCTATGATTCCCACAGAATTACTCTCAAAGAACAGCTAGGTCTAAAGATTGAATAGCCAACAAAAGCAGATGGTTTCAAAAGCTTACCCGTTCCATGCTTTTAAAATACAGTCTATAATTGGTAACAGTAAGGGTTCCTCTGATTGCTCCAGTGAAGGGGCAGATGTAAGTAACATCCTTGGCTTAAAAAAAAAAGGAAAAGAAAAAAAGGTTGTTAATGTCATGGTTAATTTATGAGAATAAAATTATGACAGCAACAGTATTCGGAGGCTCTACTTTTCAAATCACTAAATGAAAGCAAGCTTAACCTGGGGTTCTAGCCTAGAGCTACATGCAAGTTTCAGTTCTGTGGAGAAGGTAAGAGTTTGGGTACAAACTGAACTCCAGGCAAATATCATCACCTAGAATCCTCCATCTACCCCTGGGAAAAAGCCAGTATTCAGCTGCAAATTGTTCACTCTTACTGAGCAATGCTTTGTCAGTACCTGAGAATACCATGCATGAAAAGACGAGATGATTCCTGCCTGGATGCATGCATTTGAAGCTGACAACAATCTGCATAAAAGCTAAGGTTTGTGCCACAAGGACAAGAGAAAGCAGTTCTCCTACATTGGCTTTTAGGATGTTTGGGTCCTTCTGCACCCCCTTGCACACGGTCAGCCCTAGGATGAGGGCCTCCATGCTAAAAGCCAGCAGAGTTACAGCGATTTCCAGCAGCCACCAATCTGTGCAACACCCAACTGCTGTGATTTTAAGTCTGAAGTCAGCGATCAAGTTACTCTGCAACGATTCAATTATTTCTGAGTGTGAGTGACGGTGACTCAAAGCAGTCCCCGTCTTAAAAGGCCTCAAACGTTTCTCACTTGTTCCAGCAAAAGGCAAGAGGTGCTGCTGGTTTTCCACAGCAAACACCTCCCCTAACTGCCCTTCTGTTTTATATCAATTAAAAATGCCAACATTTAACTCGTTCTCCTCCCTCTCCTCGCTGCCCATCAGGTTTTCTGTCACTGAAGCTGTTGCCTGGCTGTGCCATGGCAATGGTTTATGCTATGACCAACAAGTAATGACACCCCTCAAACACACAAAGATCCTTTCAGGAGAAGACCCGCTGACCAGAGATGTCAGATCCATGAAATAACTCTCTTGGACCATCTTAACCTCAAGCCTCCAAACCCTACAGGATCCCATTTGCAAGAGCTGTGTAAGGTGAGGACAGCTTGCCTCCCATCCAGGTGGCAGCCACCACACACACAAAGTGTGAGGCTACCGGGGTGTCAGGATAGGGACCTGTATCTCTTCTACCTCTCTCCCATGAGATTTAGCTGGAAGGGAGGGAGGAAGAGAGACTGCCTTGTTCCAAGGCACTGGCAACACAATGATCCTCATGTCAACTCTCCTTTTGCATAGTCTTCACTGAGCCTCAAATTTTTGACATGAAGAAGGATCTTTAAATTATCGGGAGTGTCTAATTCAGAGCAAAATACATAGCACAGAATTTTCTATTAAAAATAAACATATATGTGCTAGCAATTCATTATTTATTTCAATTCACATGCATTTGTTTGAAGGACAATGAAACACAACATGCTTCTAGCCAGTTCTAATTAAACCAAGTGTTTCATTATTGGCCGATGATTAATCACTTCTTTTCAAAGACTGGCTTGACAGAGGTTTGAAAGCAGCCTCATGAAGCATAACGAGGGTGAGGGCAGCCTGCCTGGTTTTTCCACTCTAGTTCCCATTATTCAAAATGGAAGTTCAAAATGTTTTTAAAAACAACACAACCAGATCTACTGATAAAACTGTGCATTTATATCCAAAAAAAGAACAGCATTTCTCAGTAAAGGTGCTAGAAAAATGTTTTCCAGGTAAGGAATCCCAGGCATGATCCCAAACACCGGCCTTGCCAGCCTTAAAGCCACTGCACCTTTCACATTTGCATTTTATTAGCTTTGTTTCCTAAGGAAACAAGTCTACTTAATTACACTGCACATGTACACATGTACCTACACACACGGCTTGTCTGACCTTAACCCTGCCACGGCTGTATGATTTCAGCAGTCTCTGATAAACACGGATCTCCAAGGCATTAAAATGTTTCACTGTTTGTGAGAAAGGATGCAAGGTATAATAGAGAGGTTGTACTAGTGATACCACCAACAGAATATCTAGTAAGTTCAGTCTTTGGTAAATGTAAGAGAATCCATGTGGGAGAAAGATACTGAAAACTGGGATTTACTAATTCCCCTGCTTATGATATTCCTGTCTTTTACAGGGCCAATCTTACCCTATATTATTGGGTTGGCTGAAACAATTTTTCTTCCTTTGCCTGTAAAATAAAAAGGCAATTTACATTTGCCTTTCTCAACACTTTCAACAGGAAATAATTATTGCTGATGAATAATAAACATTTCCTTTTTGCTGCCTTTGACTTTTTGCTGGACCAGGCAGCTGCTGTCTGGGAAACTCCAAAAGTCACTCGGTCTCACAGACTTGCATGGCTCATCACATCATCTGTCAACAGATAAAGCACTGGTAACTCTGGTCTCTTACACCATTCCCCAGGAGCCAAAATCTAGTCTTGCTGTCAGAGCTAGCTGTGCCTGTGGAGAGAGTTAGATGTCAGTCTACAGTGCATGGTTGGAGTATGAGTTCAGAGTCCTTAGGAAAGGAGCGAATAAAAGGATTGAGCACTCGTGAGACCCCACTTGGAGTATTGTGTCCAGTTCTGGTGTCCTCAACATAAAAAGGACATGGAGCTGCCGAAGCAAGTCCAGAGGAGGCCACGAGGATGATAAGAGGACTGGAGCACCTCCCGTATGAAGACAGGCTGAGAAAGTTGGGGCTGTTCAGCCTGGAGAAGAGAAGACTCTGTGGAGACCTCAGAGCAGCCTTCCAATATCTGAAGGGGGCCTAGAAGGATGCTGGGGAGGGACTCTTCATTAGGGACTGTAGTGGTAGGACAAGGGGTAATGGCTTTAAACTTAAACAGGGGAAGTTTAGATTAGATATAAGGAAGAAGTTCTTTACTGTGAGGGTGGTGAGGCACTGGAATGGGTTGCCCAAGGAAGTTGTGAATGCTCCATCCCTGGTGGTGTTCAAGGCCAGGCTGGACAGAGCCTTGGGTGACATGGTTTAGTGTGTGGTGTCCCTGCTCATGGCAGCGGGTTGGAACTAGATGATCTTAAGGTCCTTTCTAACCCAAACCATTCTATGATTCCATGATTGAGGTAGTGGGCTTTTGCCTTTTTTTCTGTTGTTGTTGGGTGCATTTTTCTGGTGAGGTATTTTCATTATTTTTAAGACTGAAATTGCACTCTTCCAATCATTTTAAGAGGAAGGCAACACGGTAAACTAGTGAATGCAAGATCTTTCACAGAAAATTAATCATCAAGGGGCCTTACTCAAACTTTCAGACTGGTGTGCATAAGCAAACATGGTGCACGTCAGAACGTCGGGATGGAAAATAACAACAAAACCCCATCCCTGTATCACAGCAAGTTCCCTGCAACAGCACTGTATCCTCTCCTGCAGTCTGTGACAGAGTAGATACACAATCGTGCTGTGTCAACATAAGAAATTACCCTGTGGCAAGCACAACTTGTAACAGTCAATCTATGTCTTCTCAGGAGGCAGCAAAGGCAAAGCTGTACAACCCACCTCATCCCTCATGCTAAGACACATTAAATTGCCTTGTATTTGCTACATGGTAAGCGAAGACAGCTACCTTGGCTCATGTGATGTACATTAACTTGATTAAAGAAACAACCTGATCGTGGTTCTCAAAACATCAGCAATTTGCTGACATAGATGTCAATGACTGCCAATATATTTTGTTCTATGGATATTCTATTTGATTAGCAAACAACAAGAAATACTATCATCATACCCATGTCTTTAATGGTTTCCCCTGGTAGCAAAGGTGGTTCTTCCATTTCAGCCAATTTATTAGTCTCCCTCAGGACCTAGGCAAAAGACAGAAGTAGAAAAAGAAATTAATTACATTTTCATAAACCAAGAAGTTTGCACTTACCTGCAACAGGTCAACAATATCAAGGACAACAAATATTCAAAGATCCTGAGGTATTACCTGGTGTGTCAGCCTCTGAAAGGCCAACACAAAGCATGCTTTGTGAAAGACCTTGGTGCAGTCGTTAAGCACAGCACTGAGCTGTTCAGAAGTGTTTAAAGCAAGGATGTCTGTGATGGAGAAGCTGCTCAAAGCAGACTCTGTGCTTTGGTGGCACACTTCCCACATGGCTGCTTTTCATGCTCTAACCTTCTCTCCAGCCCATTATCACAAATCAAACTTCTCTCACGGTTACATATGGAACCAAAGGTTCCTTTCCCAGGTGATCAACTACTACCGTTGTGCTATCAACTATTAAGCAGAGCAATTTCTACTTTACACTGAGGGAAGACAAAAAATTCACCTTATCACACTACTGTCTTCAATGAGGGTCCAACAACTGCAAAAGCCCTGATTTGGCTCAGTAGTGGTGACTTGTTACAAAGGTTGTATTTTGACAGGCATGAATAGGAGGTACAGTTTTAAGTGCCAAGCAACGACTCCTCCTCCTCTTGGATTGAACTTATACCACAGAACATTACATTTCACAGATATGACTGCATTTACACAAGGGTTTTCACAAGAACAGCTGTTACCACAAGCAGATGGACATTTTAGGAAAGCACAGCTCTAACTATGAAAGCACAGCCTGAGGTCTAAACCTGTGGTAGAAGAACTAGCGTAGAAGAGCATAAGTGACCATGATCAAGGCTAAGTCTGTGGGGCCAAATGCAAACGGATTTAATCATATTGCCCATGCCTCAAACTCGCCAAATTACCACAACCACAGCAGCACACCAGTTGCACAACCTAGTAACAAAGACAGAAAACAGGTAAGTTAGTCCAGACTCTGCCTCATGACGTAGCAACCACAAGACTTTGGGTGAAAGCTGGCATGCATCCCACCTGGTGAAGACAGGCAGAGAGAGCTCATGTCTGCTCAGAACTGGATGTGCAGACTCACCCAAGATGCTTTCTTTATCTTAACGTGAGGAAAGAGAAAGAATTGTTTTAATTTTGTATTAGGAAATCCCTGCAAAGAAAATTCAAAGACATGGCCTAAAGTGGCACTCCAGAACCTGTCACAGCTGTGGTCAACTTTCATGTAGGATCAAGCAAGAGGGAGGGCCCTGGGGAAGAAAAATTCTTTAAACTATGCAAAAGAATGAAAACAAACCCCCAAAGAAACCCCATGCCACAATAAGAGCATGTTCCAGCATTTTCACACAACAGATTGACATATAGATGAAAAGATTAACAAGATCAAAGTCTTCTTGAGAACAAGATGTACATTTTAGTAAATGCATTCAAAAGAGTCTTAAAAAAGATAACGAAAGCAAGTACAGCCCTGGCTTCCTAACAGGAACCTCACCACTGCACCCACTTAGGCCAGCTCTTACCAGGGAGGCTTGGGGTCTGCAGGATGGGTAAAGGGGGGGTCACCACTGACAGAGCTCACACTAGCAGCAACTTGCAGGAAAGCTTCTCCTCCCCCCATCAGCAATACCAGTAAAAACAAGGTTTTGCTGGTGTAACTAGCAGAAGTCTGTGCTGAGGACTTTTTGTCAGCACAGCTGTGTTGGCCGAAGATCACACACCCCATCAAAGCCCTGACTGACGGCCTCCCTGACAAAAGCCTGGGATGCAGACCTGCTCCCAACTCCTGTGTGTCAACTTTGTGCTTGAGTAACAGCCTTGAACTTAATATGATAACATCTGGATTATGCCAAATGAGACGGAGTCTCGCTGGCTAATTAGTCTGTAAGTGGTGGTCATCTTTGTGGTCTTTTATCTTGGAAGGACATTAGTAACAACACACTCCACACTCAGGACAGGATCACGATGTCTTTGAGAAGGTCCATACGCCAAGCGGGCAGCAGCTGCTGCTGGGATCACTGCGGTCAGCAGCTGGACCCGATGCTCTCCTGCAGATGTCAGCGGGAGCTCGGCCAGCACTAAACATTTGGGGGGCTGGGTTATATCTTAAGCCAAAACAAATATGAGGTAAGATACATAGAAAGCATTCAGGATGACAAACTAGGTGGTCAGTGCTCAGATGGGTTTTAAACACCGTACTGCATGTGGGGGAGAGAAGGAGGGAAGAGGCAAGCAGTATAAAAGACAAAGATCTCCATGTCAACACCACTCTGTAAAGACACGGTTGAAAGCTTTCTCAGTTTAAAAACTGGCTCTTCCAAGTCTAACAAAATCCATCTGCTCGCTCACACTCCCTGAAACGTGGAGTCCCCAGGGTCAGAGGAAAGGGTTAGTGACCCAAACCTGCGCTCACTTCAACACAGGGCATCCTGCAAGCACAGCACTTCAAGGTAGACAGCTTCTGCCCCCTTGCCTCAAACCCCACTTCTTTTTTTCCCTCTCCTTTTCCTTCTGGAACAGAGTTGAGGATTAAACTCATTTTCATCACCTCCCAAGTGGCCCCAGCCCCACCACCTACCTCAGGTAACACAGCACTGACTGCCACCGTGATGACTGCAAAGTCGGTGCAAGCTCTTCACCCCTAGCTAACAGTCATCCTTCCCAAAAGGAAGAGACAGACATGGTCAGAAAGCCCACAATAAACACTTCCCTGGTGTGCTGGTCTCCAGCATCTACCCAGCTCTACACCTTGAACGAGCCTCCTCGTTGGAATGTGAACTCTTGAAACTCATTTTGGCAGAAACAGAGAAATGAACAGTAGGCATTTTCCTGAAATCCACCTCCTTCAATGGCTCCTTCAAATTGATTTGGGGAAACACAATCTGTGCACAGCTGACAATGCAGGCAGCAGGCACAGGAGAAGACATGTGGGGCAGTGCTAAAGGACAGCGGGTGGCAGGAGGGAGGAAAAGTGGGTGGATAAGGAAAGACGAGTTTTGGAAACAGATCAAAGGGAAAGGATGGTATGGGACAATGCACATGGAGCTCTGGGAGGATGCTAAAACCATAGATGGACCCTCTGCTCCTCATATGACTAAGGAAATGACATGAAAAGCCCTTCCATCTTACTGCCATCCTCCCTTCCCTCCCCAGATCAATAAATGGTTTATTAAACTGTGAGGAAAAATCTATTTTGGTACATTAGCCTATTTTCAAAACTCTAAAAATAACACTCCTCTGCCCAGATTTAGCCCTCTGCAAGTCCTGCAAAATGAAATGAAGAGCTCCAGTGAGGTAAGGAAGCAAGTAGGGGAGCCAGGGACACGACTGGGGCAGCCCTGCTGCAGGAGAGTGACGGCTGGCTACTGATGCATTAACGCTATTGAGGCAGGTACCATATACGTCTGAATGTTCCACCTCTGTGTGCCTCAGGCATCTCAATTATTTCCTGGGAACAAAACCAAGGAGTGCTAAAGGTCTGTTATGAAGGTCACAGCCAGAGCTGAGCAGAATCAGCGTTACTTCAGAGTAGGACCACACTGACATAGAGCCATGCACTGGGTGTATCTGTGACAACCATCACTAAGATGATGCAACCATCAAAAATCAGTAGACTACACTGCCTTGCTTCTAAGCTAAAGATCTTTGTTTTGTTTTCCCCACAGAAACATGCTTGGTAACTGAATCTCTGCAGGAACAGAGAGTTTATTTACACACCAGAATAACCTTTATTTCTGTCTCCTCTTACCAAGCGACATCACCTACCCATTCCACCCATCAGCAGCTCTCCCTCTAGATAAAACAGCCCTCTGGGATGCTGAGCATGGGAGTACCTTAGCACCTAAACACAAGTCCTGCCTCAGCTCAGAGAGGGTGTGAGGACTTCATGCCAAACACCTACCTTTGTTCTACACTCAAGCAGCGGCTTGGCAGAACAAACCCACACTTGCCAAATTTAACAATCACTTCTCTTACTCCAGGATCCCACCTGTGTTAGCTCCAGCCCACTTACCCATGCTGAAGGTGCAGAGCTCTCTTATGTCCTCCCACCTTTAGCACCCAAGGCAAGGAAACCCTGATGCTGTATTGTTGACACAACATGCAGATTTCAGCAACAAAACAATCTCCTCCACTTGCACATATGGGGTCAGAGGAAGAGGTTTAGACCCTGCTTGAAAAGGTAAGCCTTCCTGGGTACTGCAGTTCTGCCAAGCCTCTCCAACCACGTTATTCACACAGCAGCCAGCACGCTGCTCAAAAACCCTTCTCCTGATTGATGTCCCTGCAACTCACGCACATAGCTCATCTCAAGCAGTGACAGCCAGCTCAGGGTGGTACAGAGTTATACTGACTCTAAGCACAGGGTCTCAGAGGTCTGCACATCGCTGAACACTGCTCCAGAAGGACCTGGGAGGGTTCATGGAACCCTGAATACAGGGTTTGCTTTTGCCTGGGAACAAAGCAACTGATATATTTTCCTCTTGTGCTGCCTGTGAGGCGTTTGCCTACCAGCAGAGCTGCACAGCCAGGATGACAACACACATCAGTGCTGGCTGAGGCTGAGCCAGGACTGCCTCCTCCTCCCCACCCTGCCAGGGCTGTAATAGCTCCCCTATCTAGTTCAGTCAGGATGCCTCAGTTTGCTTAATGGCTTTTTTCAGTGGATGTTTTTCCATAACCTGGATCATTTTGCCAGGACTGGCTCAGAGTATGACTACATGAGTGAAGGTGTGTAAACCCAGGGCAAGGGAGGAAGACCAGCTGGGACGGACTGGGCACAGCAACTTTGCCCCTGGACACTGACATCTGCAGCACAAGGCTCCAGATAACACAGATGCAGGAACACCCAAGGTCCCTCCAGGCAATTTGCTGTTGATTCTTTTCTACTTTCTCCTAAATGTTTGTGTCCAGAAACCCGCAAAGGTCAGGTTTTTTGGCTTCATGCAACTTAAGGGAGACTACAGGTTTGTGTTACAGTTTTCCCAAGCCTGCACAGATTCTTCTGGCCTGAATCACAAT